TCAGGGCGAGAGTGATGTCGCGCTGACGCCATAAGTGGCGAAGGTTAGCAAAAGCACCTCGAGATTTTGCTTTGCAGTTCGTGATGTCATCTTCGATCCCACGGGCGCTGACACAACTTCCCACGTAGTTGAATTTTTGGAGGACTTCTAACTGATCCCTACCAACGGTCAGCGGAGGCAGTCCAGGCCAATCTTGGAAGAACGCTTTGCACTTCGATAGTGCAAAGCAAAGCGCGAAGCGGCTGACAGGCAGTGCTAATCTGTCCAGTGACGTTTGGCGCGTCTGGGAGCTGTCACAGATTGGGGCAATATCGTCAGCATACTCCAAGACAAGAAGTCGTTCTCCTGGGAGAAAATGCACACCTTCTAATTCGTGTCCTGTGAACGCGATTTCCATGACTTCGTCAATAGCGAAGTTGAAGAGGAAAGGTGACAGCGGGCATCCTTGTCTCACACCGCTGGGGATATTAAAGGGCGACGACAGCTTGTCGTAAGCAATCACTCTGCCTAAGCTACACGCGCATAATGCTTTGATAATATTTACATACAGTCCCAAAGTGCAAGTCTAGCCACCGAATTGAATGCATCTTTGATATCGAGGAACACGACAACAGTGGGCTGGCAATATATGTGACGGTTCTCCAACAACTGACGCAAAGTGAAGATGTAGTGAATGCAGACACCACTTCGACAAAACCCGGCTTGATCTTCACGAATATGGCTTTCACGAGTGTCAGTTAGTATGTGAAGGATGACAGAGGCAAGGAATTTGGAGGCGATGGAGATCAGATGCCCTTCGGTGTTAATAACTAGGCATGTGACGTCTCCTCGTGTTGGCGAGGCTCGCCTTTCTTGTGTTCAAATATGATATTCTTTTGCACGCAACGCGAGAGGAGGCAGGGCACAAGAGTAGCTTGTTTCCATTTAGTCGCGGTGTGAAACAAAACATCACATGTAAGGTACATTGCTTCATCTGGATTATCGTTCGCTTTCATTCATCGCATCAGGAAAACTTGGCTCGAATCGTGCAAACTAATCGATTAACTTATTTATAGAAAACGCCAGGAATATGTAGCGAAAGTAATCAGGAAGTTGAAATCGTCACCTAGGGCTATGTGCAATTCCTGGCTTAGTTTAAATATAATGCAACGTTTTTAAAGTCGGCTGCACTTAGCGCTCGTTAAACAGGCTCCCATTCGATCGTTTTGGCTCAATATACAATCACACACATGAATCAAAATGCGATCTGACTAACTGGATCGGTCTGCTCGTCAACTTTGTTAATGTCATCCGCATTGACCCCGTTGCTCGATTCAGCAGCAAATCTGTCGTACAGCACAAATGGAACTCTTCTAGTCAGGACAGCATTCTAGCCGACTATGGGATCTAGCGACAGGTAGCCAGCACAGTTGAAAATCCCAAATCTGAGATAGGAAAGAAAGACACTGTGTGGACGCTCCACGGTCACATAAGCAGTACTAGGTCTCCGGCACCCACTCGGGCTCGAAGCTGTGACTTTCAGACTACAAGGCTGGATCGCAACCATTCCTGCCACAAACCAAACAAATGTAGTCTTGGTACAGAAACGGATAAAGATTACTAAATGTAATGTCCACCTAAAGTGCACGTTATGACGATTGGTTTTGAAATGAACGAATGCGGAATATTCCATGAAATAAATGTCGAGAGTCAGTGAGAGTTCTTCCTTTGTGACCGTGAAATCTAGTTGTTATGATACTAAATCTTCGGCATCCGTCACCTCAGTCTGATGGAACCAGGAGCCATACCAGTTGCACAAGTATTTTCGGTACAGTAGTAATTTTATCACTACTCTCGAGCACACAACGGTGTCGCATGAGGTTACCTCCTATGACTTTGCAGAAATTGCCGGAACAGGCGCCCATCTTAAACTCGGTAACGTTAATCTCGATGAGTGTCTGAGACATCTTCCATTCCTAAAAATACAATACACGTAGTTTGATTCCCTCGGCTCTCATAGGACTTACCGAAGTTTAAGATGACTATTCTGAGGTTCTTCTGGCATTATCTGTGTAGTAGCGCACCTGCCACAACTACCCGATGTGCTTCAGTCCCGTTTCCGTGCCAAAACGTCACCTGGTGCTAAAGCGTCATTTGTTTTTCGGATGCATCAGGCATATAAGTTGATCCATTTGCTTTTTCAAATGTATTAGCAACTGGCTAAGCTATATATGTCCATGCCAAATTGAGTAGGCGGTTGTATAGAACACAGAGCTCCACTTTGCAAGTGTATACAGTTAGCTAAGTTCGCCCAAGCTTTTCCTACCACTATGTCGCTAAATTGGCGCTTCCGATGAAATTGATTTGGTCAACAGTAGCAAAGAAATGCAAACGTAATGCGTTAGACCAGCAACCCCGTCGATATATATATATATATTTGGGGCATGTCCACTTCCATTAGTAACGACGTTTTTGGGCCAATGCACCTCCTTTCTGATTCTACTCAACAAATGATATGGAAAGCATGTGAACGCGCACGAGCATCAGCCAATCAACACAGCCGCGTAGCTGGACGGTTGCATCAGCCGTGTCCAATGACCGCACCCCCCATGCTGTTTGTTTGGTTCGTTCCACGAATAAATCCGACTGCACATCGCTGCGACACACCTTGATGAATGTGCAAAACTGCTAAACCGGGCTGAATGAAGTTAGATATCTAAAACAAGATATACACATTTTTCATAAAAACAACTCAAAACTATTCTTCCATCTTGAGAAGTTACTGAATGGTTTGGCATCACGAGATAAATATATTACGGTAGTAGAGTTGTGGTGCGGTCGGCTGACAAGAGCTAACAGTGGTGTAGTTAATAGTGGGGCTTGAATTATTTTACTGAAAAGCTGTAGTTTTTAGTGTTTGCGGTTTCTAGAACGACGCTTCATGTTTGATGCTTTCGTGTAAATAACTGGGCTCTTCGAGTTGTTTAACCTTTATGCATGAAAACCGGAGTCCGCGGAGAACACTTTTTACACTTTTGTAATAATATTTGGAAATTCCTTTCGTTCTACCGTAAGGCAACAGCGATGTGCAACTTCCGCGGCTATTTTACTAAAAGTTCAGTGAATTGTCAAGTCAAATCAAATCAAAGTAGATTTTATGCACCCGAATAAGTGCATCTCTGGCATGTCACGACATAACTTGGTCACTGAATGACTGAGCATATCTGCATGTTTGACCTGCCTATGACTGGATGTACCTGTAACGAATCTTCACGAAATGATTGGTACAAAAGTACCTTCACTAATTTCAAAATACCGCGCAATTTTTCCGACTGCCCCGTTACCCCCTGTGTTTCACTTTGCTTCCTCGATCCTCGTACCGACTACCTTTCCAGGAAAGGTATACTTGGTGCAACCATGCAGTGAATCAAATAACGCCAGGCTATTCGTCTACGCAACGTTAACATTGTTTCTCTCCGTGTGTTTCTGCTAAGCAGATTACTATTCGGAAATCACGCCATTGGAATCAGTAAAATAGTTCTACTATTCTACCAAGCGCAACGTCATCAGATATGGCCACAATGACGTGCGCACCACGTTTGATCTGCTTACCCTATCGCTGGCATTCCGACTTTCTTCAAACATCCTTGACTGCACACCACTTGGTCAACTTTCAGATCAACCCGGTATAGTCGGTGTTCATGAGGCTGCGCTAAGGTGGTAATAGCCGAGTCTACATTCTGGCCGGTACACAATTACACCCATTGCCATCCGTGCAAGATCTCGGCTTACTCTCCTGTTCCTATTTGAAACCTGTTGTAAAGACCAACAGGCTTTAGCAAAACGGACTGCACATGCTCTGGGCGCTCAAACACAGCTCAAACGCCTCTTCTCTTCTATCATCAGACCAATGCTAAAGTACGCTCACCCGCCCACTGTCCGCTCACTCGAGGCGAGTTGCAAAAGATAAAGGCTCATCCCCGGTTTACGAGGTGTGTCATACGACGACCGTTGCGAGAGACTAGGGTTGTACACTGTCTTATCGTCGAATGCGGGTTGATCTCATCAGGACACAACGGATAGTATGTTTGCGTGCTTACCTCATGTCGAGGCCGCTGCTACATCTGCGCACACCAAGCAACACAGCAGGACACAGGCACAAGCTTGCCGTACCAGATTAGAAACGGGTCGCTCACCAAATCTGCTTCGAGTGGAGGGTGGTGAATATTTGGAACAACCTGCCTCCGCATATGGTCAATGCAAATTCGGTATCGGAGTTTAAGAAAATCCTTGGCTTGCACTTTGTCGACTTGAGATTTCGAGAACAAGCACCATCACAATAGGTAGATTTTTTCGAAAAATATTAGGCGCAGCTACATAGAGACCTCTCTACTCGCTGCATTTTCTCAGTATTCAGTATTCAGTTCAGCTTTCGTATCTGCCAAAACCAGGTGCCACAATGTTTAGTCTGGTTTACGGAAACGGTTGAGGCAATTGGCCCTCTCTCTTTGTAACAGGTGTGAATACCTTTTAGCCTCTGATCATGTGCACTGGGGTAGTAAAGTGGTTCCAGCTGGTTCGTGAAGCATCTGCCTTCCAACACCAATTATCCAATGTTGGTGCATTCATGCACTTCACAGGACGACTACTACGTGTGCGGATTTTATCGCGATGCGAAGTGCTTTTAAAGTGGCTTACCAAAGTTAGACTTCATGTCATTATTAACCCAACACTAAAGTTGAATTTGAGGAGCAGTAGAAAGTTTCTTGCCTAATTATGTCTTCTAAAGCACTTACACTAATGAACTGTCTACTGTCTGTGTACACAGACGAGACTTCATTAGAATTGTACTGCAATTGCACATAAACAACCTGAAATCTTGGAAAATTTTAAGGGGTTAGCGTTAACGTAATCATCGGCAAGCCACGTAAACAGGGATTGGTAACCGTAAAGTGTAACCTGAGAACCCTAGTGTAATGAGCATCAGATATTGAAATCCAAATGCGTGAAGATGGTCTTACCTCGGTGTAGAAGATAGTGCAAATCACGTGACTACGGCTACTTCGCTGATGGACATCGTTCTCCGCAGTCTTGCTGCAAAGTAATGAGATACACACAGGCGAGTGGGTATGTAGACCACAAAAGTATCCAATGAGTTTTAGTAGTGCGAGTTTGGTTTTGAAGAAAGCACCATCTAGACGGCAGCTCTCGATAAGTAACTTGTATAGTGTATTGTATATACAGCAGAGTACACGATAGTCATGGATGCGTTAAAAAACTTTAGGCGAAGATACGGAACAAAAAGAAAATGTACGGAAATTATGCTACCCCCGAACCAGAGAGGACAGCTACCCCATCTATAGATAGACGACGTTTAATTGACGTCTGTACGGAACATTACATGCGTGTGGAATTTTAGCTAGGTAACAAGATGTACATCGTTTGTTTTAGCCCCGCTATTCTCCTAAGTAAACAATTTATTAGACAAGTGACTACTCTCAATGCATCTTATGCAAATCATCTAGGAAATAAACCGTACTTTGAAATATTTTATGCGTTCCCGGTAATGAGTATGATCACGGTGAGTATGAATAGCTTTTCAAAGCAAAGAATCTCAACCTCTGACAAGATTCATCGTTTTCTCTGGCCTCTTACCTACCAATGCAGTGTCCAACTTGAGTATCTGCCAACAAACTTATTGCGACGCGGTTTGAACACGATGATCGCAATAAACTGGCTTTCAACAATCAACACATCTATTTATGGAACATTCGGAAAGCGCAACCATTATTTTATTGACACATTCGAGGATATGGCTGACGTGGTCGACTATGGAACTTGGAAGCTGCTACAACAAACCCACCAATTAACGTGGAATATTTTTATTTTCCAAATATGTGACCACAATTGCATAGGAGTTTTACAAACAAATTATGGCTGTAGCGCATAGGATATAGGATATCGTTTTTACCTGGAGAGATGGTTTGCTTTCTCCGGGCTTCGCAAAGTCTAACTGCTTGCCAGTTAAACTCGCCGTCAAATGTGCACACTCAAATTCGGATCAACTGGTCAATGATCCAGTTGTTCACGTCATCTATCATTACATTGCGGTACGGCCGTAAATGTCGCGGTCTACGTCAGCACGTACATTTATATTTACGCTGTCCAACATTCGAATAATAAGACGGCGGATTCACACCGACACACCACCGCAAGCGGGTCAATGACAAGCAGATCCCAGCGAGTAGCCGGCCATCACGCTCTTATGAAGGCAGTGTATCCAGTGATCCTGCGGCTAGACAAATTCCGCCTTTCCCAGTCACCGGCACAGTAGGTAAATGTCATCATAACTTTGGGTATGGAGGGACATGTAGTTGAATTAACTGAGTGCTGGTGCTTGAGTTTGTAGGCATCCTTTGTTAAGAAGGCAGTAATACTCATCAAAGCAATCGGAAATCGTGTGGAAAATTCCGAGTAAGTTGAAGCATGATGGAGGCATAGTGGTTTCTCCATGCACGCAGTTAGAAACAGTCCAAGTGTGCAATCAGGTTGGCATAAGTCATTAATAACTTCGCTCAAAGAGGTTATTTCACAGAATCAAATGGGGAATAGTTTCCGTTTCAGTTCTGAAAAGTTGGTCTAGCTAACGAGCACGTTTTCGGTAATGTATCATCTGGTCTAATACAACACATTTATATAGTTTGGATAAGAGAGGATCTATATAGCGGCTAGAAAATGGTGAGGTCAAAAGGAGCAGTAGGGGAGTGATTTGTTCAGGCGGAAGTTACCCGATGTTATGATAAAATAAAAGCCTTAAAGAACTGTTAATACGCTCACATATACAATTTTGAGGCGAATCGCTGTCGCCTCCACCAATGTGGGGATTCGACATCTGTTAAGTTTGGAATGAACACCCATGACACAGTAGATCAGATAAAGGTTTTTATAGTTAACGACGGGATGATTCGTTTGGACTAGGTTTGTAACTATTGCGGTGGTGCATCACCTGTTCATTTCTCGGCTTAGGTAAGCCGGGTGATATCCACGGGTGTTTTCAGTTATACGCATCCTACTGCGATCTATATAACTTGTCTTGCATGAGCAGGTAAATAATCCACTCACCGATTTGCAATGCCTCGAGCGATGATGGAGTCAATTGTGGCCGGACTCGTGATGGGAACTTGTGTAAGACCTGAGAGAGGAAGCATAAAGAGCGCGCAGTGTTAAGCAACTATTTGCGTTGTTTGCAATTACTCTTGCACAAACGTGGCACAGTTGGGGTATGCGAACTAAATCGAATTTCATTCGTGTCACATTTTAGTCAAGGGTAGATGAGCTCAAATTGGAGGGTATGACGTAAGATTTAAATGCGCCTGCAATTTATGGTGGATTAATTTGCAAAACTCGTTGTATGTGATGAATGCCAGTCAAAAATTCAATCTGCGCCGAGAGTCACTTCAAAGGGAACCTTGGTCATTTTAAACACTGAGACTGTAACTGACGAAGCAGATGGCGATTACGTGTTGCCCGTTGGAAAGCACTGCACTCCATGACCGACTTCCCAATTCGGAACAGGAAATGCCCTTAGTGGTTCCGTGTTGCTCCTCCCTACCCTGACACCCCATAACCGGTTTCGTCCTCGTTTGGACTCATCAGATGGAGATAGCCTGAGCTGGGGTGGACCTCGAGACCTAGTGTTCAAAGGTTGACGCCTTGACGACTATGGCTCTAAGTTCTGCGAGCAACGCTTGGTACAGTGGTAAAGAATTCCAAGTGGCATTTGGTGTACCCGTTGTGTGGTTGGATTGCGACTCATAATCTCTATTTACGTCTCGGTCCACTTTGAAGTAGACCTCGGTCATTATGATCACAAGAACGGTATCCGAATTGGTGGTTCGGTGTTGCTCATCCCAACCCGGACACCCCATAACCGGTTTCGCTCTCGTTTGGACTCATCAGATGGTGATAGCTTGAGCTAGGGTGGACCTCGAGGGGTAGTGTTCAAAGCTTAACGTCTTGACCACTATAACTCTTAGATCCGTGAGCAACGCTTGGCACAGTGGTAAGGAATTCCAAGTAGCATTTGGGGTACGAGCTGTGTGGTAGGATTGCGATTCGCAATCTCTATTCAGACGTCGTCCCTCTTCGAAGTAGGCCTCGGTCAGTACCCTTTATAATTCCAAAAATTCAGAAGATGGAAACCGGGAGATGAGTCAGTCACAACTCATACAAAATTTATAGATATACAAAACGCGCAAATGACTTCGCTAGCTAGCCAATCGTTGACCAATCGTCACGCGTCACACAGCTGTTTCTGCACATAAGGCAACAATCCTTCTCGATCGATGCAAATAGCTTCCAATGGCCTGAGAATAAGCGGCCTCTGATTGCGCATCAGGACGGTGAATAACTTATCGGGCCTAACTCCGTGGTCACGTGTTTGCCGAGGCAGCTCGATTTCTCAACTGGGCTGATTCAATTATCACCGATCCCATCGGCACGTCGCGGAAGCCGGTAGGCTAGCATGCGTAACATGTGGGCCAGCCGTCGGAGCCTGCTGCGTGAAATGACGGTGCTGAGCAGTTCAGTAGATTTTCCTGTGCCGTAAACAAGACGTCGAACATGCATGTTGCTCACGCTGTTTCTCCACTAGGTGGGAACCAAACTGCGAAGGCAGTGCAATGAATACACACTTCTTTGGAGCTTCTGTTCGTTTTTCGTGCGGTCTGATTTTCCCCCCATACATTGCAATGAAGTTGTGTTGCTCCACAGAACGAAAAAGCTGCTACACGAATCCAATTTGGACAAGTCTCACTCTATTGTCACCGCCTCATGTGTTTACCAGTTTTACTGTACTTGCAATAGCATGTACAATTGCCGGACAAAGAGGAGGTTGTTCACTCGGATTTTAGAACACGTCCCGTGAAACCTGGCTCCCCGTGGCGCAACATTACCTGCAAGCTCCGTACCTCGGAACTTATTCGACTGCTCCATGTGTTAGAACCCCCTCCCCCGCCGAAGCATTCAAGGTCATCAACAGACAGAGCAACACCAAGTTGTTGCGTTCTGCTGGGGCTTCCGGCGCTTGAATTCTAACCTCTGTAAACAACATGAATTTGTGGCCAATCTTGTTTTGCCATGGTAAAGGAAGACAATCTAGCTAACACAAATGACCAACAATTTCTGGCATTGACCTTTTACTGCCAACCGTTTGAAATTTTCACCCCTTGTAGGTCAAGGGCTGGACAGAATACATGAAATATACGGAATTCAGAATATTCCGCAGAATAGTTCCTTGTTCTTGCTTTGTTATAGACAATTTAATTGGAATCATGCCCAACGCAATCATCCGAAACATTATTCCACTCACATCACAGCGGTTGTTTCAGAGATGAATTGCGGTAAAAATCTGAAGATTTGTAACCATGCACTTCAAGCCGCTGAGGCAGAGCAACAAATGCTCATCAAAGGATTGAAGTATAACTGCAAAGATTCGACAGCCAATGAGCTTTTAGCGGAATTCGAAAGCGCTCTACAATCAAGTGGACTTGGAGAAGAGATTCAGAAGCAAATCCGACATACAATCGTCCCTGCCATGACACACGTCAAGCCATTCAGTGCCATATCTCGACAAGAGTAAGAAGCAATGAAAACCCTGAGATCCGACAAGCTAATCAATTAACAATGAATACTGAATTTGCACGGGTTAATATGCGTTGCTTTACAAGTTGTTTTGGATAGTTGGTAAAGATACCAAAATAACAATATTGATAAAAAGGATATTAAAACAGTTAGTGCATTAAATATGAAAATAATGACTTATCGTTTGCCCCGCCGTAGTCCTGCAATCCGCTTAGATTCACAGCATCAATAGTTAACATCAAATAATACCATGATAAACTCCAGGTGTAGTATGGAGATGTAGCGCTAAGTGACAAAGTGTAAGTGGATAAGTGTGTCGTTCAACCGACTTTTAAATACTGTTAGTGTGGGTGCAGAGACAACCGATTCTGGGATAGCATTCCACAGGTGCCAGACACGAATGAGAAAGAATGCGACACTCCAGGCGGCTATAATGTACAGATACTTTCAATGAGTGCCCCCTCAGGGTTGTATTGCTGCTGAGTGGCAGTAAAGGGCAGCACATATGATGTGGGTCTCGCAGAATCAAGTATGCCATAATCAGGTCGCCTCGTAGTCTGTGATAGCTTCCGCTGAATACTCCCAATCGTTGCTGCCTCACTGGTATGGAAGATTGCGCATTCCAATTAGGATCTTAGATGTCCAGCGTTGTGGCTGCTCCAGTGCATTAAGGTCGTGTTTCAGCCATGGATGCCAGGCTTGAATTCCGTATTCGACATGCGGGGAACATACGCACTGAGCATTTGTCGAAATATGGAGCCGTTTATTTGTTAAAACGCCCGTCACAACAGCGCGACGAGTTGGTTCCCAGTCTTCGAGGTCATTTCGGATTGCCTGGAACAAACCAAGTCATCTTGAACCAGGATACCCAAGTCACGCTCGAGAGTTGATTGTTGCAGTACATTCGTTCCGAGACGGTATAAGTAGTTACTCTGATGTCGGATGGAAACGACCTTGTATTCACTGACGTTAAAATACAGTAAGTTTTGGATTGATCATTGATACACTGTATCTAGGTCACTCTGAAGCACATGTTGGTCGGCGTTCGCCTGGATCCTGCGCGAAATCTTGATATCGTAGGCAAACAGGAATTTTGAAGAGATTCCTTGTGCAACGTCGTTAATAAACGCGGACCTAGAACTGAGCCTTGCGGCACACGGCACTCGACTGTATGGGATCCGATAAATAGCTCCAAACTCTGAACACTAATTGCTGTTGAAGTAGAAAGTTGCCAATCCAATTTGGAAGTGGGTCACCGATCCCGTAATGCTGGAGTTTGGTAAGTAGTATCCGATGGTCTAAACGATCGAAAGCCTTCGAGCAATCCAGATAGACCACATCAACTCTTACTGCGACATCAGCTGACTCAGTCCAACTACTGCGTGCCACTAGTAATTTCATTATGCATGATCGCTGTCGACGGAAACCGTGCTGCTCAGGCGTGAGGATGTTACAGTTTTCCAGATAGCACACCAGTGCATTGGCTACTATCGATTCCATAAGCTTGGAGTGCATAGGAGGAAGGGATACTGGGCGGTAATTGGAAGGATCTGTGCTGGTTCATGTTTGTAAATCAGTGTTATTATTCCAAGCTTCTACATGGCGGGAACTTGATCCTGATCTAAGCAACACTGGAAAAACTGAGCTAAAACTCCTGCTAGTTGGCTTGCTGCTGCTTCCAGTGCCTCTGGACGAATGATGTTGACACACGCAAGCTGTGTTTGCGTAGAGACGTCAGCTTTTGCAATACAGCCTGCACGGTAAAACTGATGTGGGTTAGTACTGACGAGGAGACGACCAAAGTCGGAAGATCGCTTGGTAGCAAGATCCACTGAAACGTGAGGGCATATTGCATCCACAGAGAGTTAGCTACTCCCACAGCCGTTCTTGTTGGGCCAATGGCCGTCCTGAGTGGAGGAAATTCTTGCCTCACCTTTCGTTGGTAATTGACGTCTTCGTACAGCAGTTTGTGCTTAGCGCTGAAGGTTCCTGCGAATTTTTGCTGATAGGTGGCTTTGTCTTCTCTCATCAGTCGAGTGCAATGGTTACGTTGGGCTACGTATCTGTCTCAAGTTTCTGGTGCTGGAGTTCCTCTGTACACTCGTCATGCTGCGTTGCGTACTGTCATCCATTTGCTTATGCTGCTCCTAACGACAGAAACTGGTGTACACTTATTGCAAACTTCTATTTCTAAAGTCTCAGCAATCAGCTGATTGAATTTGTTGAGGAACTTGAGCCAGACGACTTTCGGGGTTTCTTCTGCAAGGAATAACCAAGTTGTAGCGCTAACGAGCTGGGCTAATGGACCGTAGCTTGTGATGGTTCGCACAGTATCAGCGTTCTCATTCCAATATTCCTCATAGCAGACGAAGTTGAAACTGATGACCACATGATCAATGCGACCCGACGGGCAGTTTACAATCAACAAAGCAATCAGACTCTCCACCTTGATAGGCACATGATCCAGCACAGGTGGTCTGTGACGTGTTCTGAACAGAGTGGGCAAAGTGGTGTGATTGTAAAGAGGAACAGTGGTTACGAGATTTTGTA